TTGAATGGCCTGGGAGTATCTCAGTTCTTCTCTAGAACCTCTTCTAACATCACCCTGGTCCTCTCTTTTCAACCTGTATTGTCTGCCTATGATGTATGCAGTTCAGCATACATCGCATCTTTTAAATGGACATACTAATAGTAGAACTCTCCTGTGTTCTCTGTTTGCACTTGTTCAAAATTTAATGCTTAAACTACAAGCTTTCTTCCTCAAGGGTATAGCAACTGAGTTCCTAATGCTCTTGATATTCTTATATGCATGCTATCATATCTTATATACAGTGTATACTGTATAATTTTATGTATACATATGTATATTTTGTATCCAATGCTACTATACAAATCTTTTGTGCAGAAAGGGTGCTTTCCCTATGTAACTCCTCCAAAATGCCTGAAAAATACCTTCTATTCTGTCTGCTCAGGATGCAGTGAGAGAGTGGGTAGAAAAGGATAGGGAGAGAAAATTATAGCAAAATGGGGCTGAGCACTGCCCAGGAGACTCTTATTATTCAAATGCCCATTTTCTCTGGTTGTTTCTTCTGTCTCACTGAATGTGCTGTCTATGGACTACTCACGTCCCTGGGGGAGAGCTTAGTCAGCTAAACAGAAGTTGGCTGTTGTGTAACTATTTCATGCCTATTACATATGGCTTATTTAGGTATGTAAAACCAACATCTTGACTATACACTGCTTCAAATCCTTGACAGAACAAGGCAAGAATAAATAAATATTATTGACACCATAAAATAACAAGCATGGTTAACTATGCTTTTTAGGAGTTACCATTAGGAATTCTCTCATTTAGAAATTCGGACCCAACATTTTACTTGTGACTTCTAACTTAAGTTTTAAATTAGAGCTTCTCATATGGAACTGTGTGTCTATCATGTGACTTCTAAATGCTCAGATATGAATTCTTAGAGGACCAGAGCATCATCATGTTACCACAATAAGATCCACCCTGATTATGAATGACATCTTCTGGATAGTAATACATGAACTCAAGTGGTGAAAACCACAGTGAGTTGGTCTTTGGTAAAGTACAGATGTGTTTTCAGTCAGCCTCAGGTTTCGATAGTAATCTTCCCCCAGGCACAAATACGCTTCTCTTGTCATCACGAGATTCCATGCCGCCGGAATCTGAATTTGCAGCCATTTAAATGAAGGTTAAGTTTGGTAGTAACTTTATCCTCCAATGATCTTGAGAAAGGTATGCATGCTTTCCCTGTACTTTATTAAGTTTCTTTACGCCTGTAAGCACAACATTTGTTATCAGTTGCTTTCTTCTGCAAGGGTTACATTTAAAAATTTACCTTGAAAGCCCATGTAATCACATTTTCTTCAATACTGCCTCACAAGTTGAAATTTAGTGGGTTTTTTTTTTCTTCCTGTACCTATCCACACTTTGTTGGAACAAGATAGAATAAGTTTTATACCGAAATTTGTAACCTCATTTCTGAAGCACTCAATTATTAATGCCAAAATATAACTATGAATCTCTATAGCAGATATAAGTCAACGACAGTTTACTTTTACTTTGTTCTGTTTTTATTTATCATCGTCAAATGACATTTGGCATTTACAGAGATATTAACTTAGCTTATTTTCAACCTGTGTCCAACAAACATACCATTAGTTTCTCAAGAGCAATTCAGGGTATTTCGTTGAGGAACAATGTTCACAACTTCATCAAAAATACCTAGTCTCCAGGTTGCAGTGCTTCTCTTTCTAGCCTCTGGATACATTGTTGCTCACAGCATTTTGTCTGTTGCCCTTTTTGCATCTTTTTGGCACACACTGGCCTTTTTTTTTTTTTTTTTTTTTTTACTACATTCTATAAATTTGGTACTCTGTGTGTAGTTCCTACTAGAGCTTTTATTGTATAATGTTTAACAACCCTTCTGAGACCTATAATCTCTCCTTCTTACTCTTCCCCTGCTATCTCTCCAAATTATGAATTGTTTTAGAGTGTTGTCCCCTCCTTAATTATTTACACTTCGTGCTGGGTTAATTCTAGTGCTTTCACCCAGTTATTTACCTCTTACAGCATTAAATCTGCATCTTTCTATGCCCTGAGAGTCTCTTATTTCTTTCCGTAAATCACAATTTGATCTCTCACTTGAACTCAGACAGTATCTAAAAGTTCAAGAGATGCTGTATGGCCTTCCTTGGAAAATACATTCTGGTACACCCCTTTTTCTGTGTATCACTTAGCATTTGGTTCAGCTGCTTAAAACAGAAAACCAAAATTACAGAAGCCTAAACAAAAAAGAGGTTTATTTTTCTCTTTGTGTAAAAGACCTCTAGTGGCGGGCGGTCCAGGGCTGGTATAGTAGCTCCATAGTCATCATGAACACCTTCTGTCTTTCTGTTTTACTATCCTTGGTGAGTGGCTTCTTTTCTTAACTTTGCTTGCTAGCTGCTATGATGGCTGCTGCAGCTTTAGCCATCACATCCATGTACCAGGAAGCAGCAAGGAGAGATGGAAAAGGAAAAGGGGACACTTTAAAGCGAGACAACCACCTTTAACGAGATGTCTTAGAAGTCCTATCCAATGACTTGCAGTTAAATCTCGTGGATAACTTGACACATTGTTTCACCCCAAACACAAAGGAAGTTAGTGTGGAAGAAACAGAGAAAGGCAATTGGGTAAAAGCAACCCACCTGCTTGCTACACTTAGACCCTGTACATCTATTGCTTGGTCTCCACGCTTGAGGCAAGACTTCCGTTTGAGGCTGGCAGGCTCCCGAGGCTACACCTGGAGAAGGAAGCACAATTGCCCTCGCTGGGAACCTCTTAACCTTATGTGGAGTTTCCAGGATTTAGGGCACGCGATATTGTTTTCAGGTACCCACACCAACAACTAACACTTAGGTCCTTTTCCAGGGCTGAGGCCCCTTCTCAAAGATGAACTGTCTCTGAACTCTTCTCGTAGAAAACATTGGTCACTAGCATTATCATGTGTTCTTCTAAAGTTGCTGCTCATGCGATAAACTCTGTGCCTTTATTCCTCCGGGATTTAAATTTTGTTACTCCAAGCCAAGATTTCAGAACTCAGAAAATCCTTTCTCTCTGTGAAAGCCCAGGTCTTACAATTTGATGTTTTGGTTTTTAACATGATTGTCTCTGCCATGAACTTTAAAAGTCCATTCAGGAAAAAAAATCCCCTCAGTAAATCACTTGATTCTTTTTACTATCCTGAATGTAGAAAGCTCTCACTGTTGCCTGAATGGGTGGACTAACTACAAGGAACCTTGGGCAAGATTTGAAACTATTATCTACTAGATAAACAACAGTAATACAAGCCAGAAGGGCAAGGCAATTAAAAGGGTTAAGAAGTGCAAAGGACTGAGAAGTCAGACTGGGCTTCCCTGGTGGCGCAGTGTTTGAGAGTCCGCCTGCTGATGCAGGGGACATGGGTTCGTGCCCCGGTCCGGGAGGATCCCACATGCCGCTGAGCGGCTGGGCCCGTGAGCCATGGCCGCTGAGCCTGCGCGTCCGGAGCCTGTGCTCTGCAACGGGAGAGGCCACAGCAGTGAGAGGCCCGCATACCGCAAAAAAAAAAGAAAAAAAAAAAAAAAAAAAAAAGAGGGCAGTCAGGGAAGATGTCTCAGTACAGGGACCACTGAGCTTGTCTTGAAAGACTCTGACGCCAGAAAACAGAAGGAACAGGACTGCAGACAGAGGGAAATAGCACTTGCTAGAAACAGGCCTGTTTGGCTGAATTGTATAAAATATAAAACTAATTTGCATGGCACTGTCATCAGCTAACAGAAACTTATTAAGCATCAACTCTGTCCAAGTTGTATGCTAAGCCTAAAACTTCAAAGATGAAAAGGCCTTATCTCTGACTTTTAGGAGTTAGGGGTCTTGTTAGGGGAAATTGATAAACAAATAACAAGTTATAGTATAATTTGATGAACTCTATAATTGGTAAATTGGTAAACGAATTCATTTAACAAGTATTTATTGAAATAAGTGTCCCCCTTCCCCCTTGCAACTAACCCTGGGTTGACAGGCCCTGGGGACACAGCAGGGAAGGAAAAGCAGACAGGGACCCTGGGCTCCCTGAACGACAGTCTAGGAGTGAAAGAGAACCTCTAACCACCTGGGCTGACCTCTCACATTTACATCCTGCTGCAAAATCAGGACTATAAATGTGAAATTTTGCTGTTAATATTTTAAAACATGTAATAATTGCTGTATTTGAAAAGGGCTTAGCTTCCTTGAGAAAATAAAACAGCACTATGCGCATTAAAATGTTTTTAGACTTTTGCTGGCATAACACTGAGAATTCAGATGATAGGGTTATAAAATGAGCACGTAGAAGGGTGTTCCTGGTGAGAAAAATTTGAACACCCATTTTGGATGTTTTCTTTCTTTCTTTTCTTTTCTTTCTGTCTTTTTAAAAAAACTATCCATTTGTATTATAATACTGGTAAACATGATTACTTTCTCTCTTGTTAAAACCAAAGCATCTGAATATTGACTACACTATATATCTCATCACACTTGCCTTTTTTTCTGAACCTAATAATTAACATGCATTTGTTGAAGGCCTCAAATATTCCTAAACCAATGTTAAATCTGCAACATGAACTTTCATTTGTCTTAACAAAGGGGTTTATAATCCTGTTTGGAGAGATATGCTATACAGCCCTGGAAACTTCACTAAAAATGTCAGTGGGTATGTCACCAAGAAGTTCCTGATGTCAAGAAGAACCAACCCCAGGCTTCCCTGGTGGCGCAGTGGTTGAGAGTCCGCCTGCCGATGCAGGGGAGACGGGTTCGTGCCCGGGTCAGGGAAGATCCCACATGCTGCGGAGTGACTGGGCCCGTGAGCCTGTGCTCTGCAAAGGGAGAGGTCACAACAGTGAGAGGCCCACGTACCGCAAAAAAAAAAAAAACCAATCCCATTTCATTTTAGAGAAAGTTCCAATCAGATTGGTCTGATTGGAACAGACCTATCAATGTTAACACCGTGTTCAACTGTCTTGCAGGTCCTTCATTCCTTTACTGATGCCGTTTTTGACGAGTGGATGAAAAGATTCAATCCCCCTGCGGATGCCTGGCCTCAGGAGCTGGCACCCATTGGTCACAATCGGTTGTATAACATGGTTCCTTTCTTCCCTCCGGTGACTAATGAGGAACTCTTTTTAACTGCAGACCAGCTTGGCTATAGCTATGCCATTGATCTGCCAGGTAACTAATGCAACTTCTAAATGCGTGATTCGTTCATCTTCTAAAGAAGGTTTCTTTCCTTTTTCCTTTCTTTTTAGTGTAAACCACAACCTTAAATTGAAGTACTCAGGTCTAGTTAAGTTTATTGGCAATTTTATAGAGTATCTATATTTACCAAAATGAGCCTTTAAACTACCAATTAAACATCAGAAAAGGGACTGGTTGGATGACTCTTGTTTTAGAAAATTGAAAGTTGTTAAGAGAACTTATTTCACAGGGAAAGTATCTACACCTGATTTGACAATTCTACTTGAATTAATTGAAAACTGGCCTAAGCAATAAAATCAAAATGCACTAGCCACCTATGGATGGTTACTAGCAGGACCTAAAGGTAAGGCTGGGCTTATGGTGAGGCAGGTGCAGCACCTGCCTCAGGCACAAAGTTCAAGGGCAGGCCAAAAACTCAGTAATTGAGCTAAGGAGTAATATTCTCAAAAACCCAAATTCATGCAAAAAAAATCTATGTTGAATACACTATCAAAATTTTAAAGACGGCCTGTCGTTGTTTGTTTGTTTTATACCCCTGCATCAGTTTGTAAGTAGACCAAATTTTTTTTTTCCCCCAGTTAGCCAGTACCATACCTGCTGAATGGGTTTGTGAAGATGACAACAGACTGCCAATAGATTGGGCTGCACGGGGCTTCACGTGTACATTTTTTTTTTAATGAATTTTTTGAAGTCATGTTTTTAAGTTGTAGGTTTTTTGTTAGCTTTTCCACCTGGTTCAAAATATGGGAGGATGTTCTGATAAGTGTAGGGGCATATATTTTTTTACTTGCCCAGGCCCCAGTATAGCACCATTGTGCCATTTAAAGCATCTTAGGACAGGTTGAGAAAGGAAGGTAAAACAATTTTTAAAATCTCTAAATTTTTCAAGAAGCTGAAAAACATACGGCCTATCTGCTGGTGGCATTTCCCCATTGGTGCAAAGTAATCAAGATGATTTCTGAGGTCACGTATCTCTCTCTCTGTCTCTCTCTAACTTTCAAGGCCTTTCAGACCCTGGACCCTGTCCTTTCTTTTTCCTTCCAGTTCTACATCTACCGCAGCTTGTTTCCCTTACTGATTTGAAATTTCCATTCTTTGGTCAGCTAAGGATATCTCTTTGAAACTTTTCTCTTTTCTCTGGGATTGAACATAATCATAATCAGAAAGTTTGGAATGTGCATTTTGACCATGCTTCCATGTCTTCTGACATCGGCCAATTAACAGGTACAGACCAAGAGTCTAAATATGCCCAGGATGCACTAACTCATTAGAAGATACAAATTACATTCATTTATTGGTTTAACAAAGAAATTTACAATCCTGCCTGGGGAGACATAACTATAACAAAAGGTTGGAGAAGGGAGAGAGGGATTGGGGAAAGGAGCTGGGTCTTGAACTAGATTAAAGAGATGGTAGGTCTTAGGTAGGTAAGGGGGAAAGAATGTAGCGTGTTAGATCGAAGGAGGGCAGGGAACAGGGCTGTGAAAGACACATGTAGTCTATATAGAGGACCATGAGACGAAGGTCTGGTTGTAGTGGAGGGCTTGGGTAGATAACTGTGAATTAAAGTTGGATTTGAGGGAAGGGCCTGGTTACTGAGTGCTTTAAAAGCTGGGCAAAAACCACGAGATGCCACTCTACACCCGTTAAGAGGGTTACTACCCAGAAAGCAGAAAGTAACAAGTGTTGATGAGCGTGGAGAAAATGGAATCCTCGTGCACTGCTGGTGGGAATGTTAGCGTAGGCTCTGTGGAGAACAATATGGCAGTTCCTCAAAAAATTAAATGTAGAATTACCATATGATCCAGCAGTTCTGCTTCTGGGCATATATATACCCTCAAAGAATTGAAGGCAAGTAATGAGATACTTGAACACCTCTGGTCATAGCAGTGTTATTCGCAACAGACGAAGGTGGAAGCCACCCAAGTGCCCAATGACAGATGAATGGATCAAAAAGTGTGGGCGATACATACAATGTGATATTATTCAGTCTTAAAAAGGAAGGAAATCCCGTCACATGCTGTAACATGGGTGAATCTTGAAGACCTCATGCTAAGTTAAATGAACCAGTCACAAAAGGACAAAAACTAGGATTCCACTTCTATGAGGCACCTAGAGTAGTCAAATGCATAGAGACAGAAAGTAGGATGGTTGTTGCCAGGGGCTGGGAGGGAATGGAGAATTGGGGAATTACTATTTCAATTTTGCAAGAGAAAAAAGTTCTGTGGATTGATGGTGGTGATGACTGCACAACAATGAATGTATTTAATGTCACGGAACTTAATTTAAAAATGGTTAAGGTGGTAAAATATATGTAATGTGTATTTTCCCACAATTAAAAAATAATAAGTAACTAAAAAAAAGCTAAGCAGAGGAGTTTGGGCAATAACAAAGGCAATCATTTTTGGCTCCTGAACCAAGAAATGACAGAATAAAAATCTGTGTTTTAAGAAGATGAAGATGGCAATAGATCCTGCCAGATTGCTGCAGGAGGAGACAAATTAAAATCCTCTTGGAGAAACACCATTGTGATGAGTCAGGGTCCTCTGTGGGATTGGAGGGAAATAACTAGAAGGACAATCTTACATTTCGAGAAGTGTAGAGTATAGAAGAACCCAGTTCAGAGAAACTGAATTTAAGAACAGCTGGCCAAGGATATGAGAATTTTTAAGGAAACAACAAAAAAAATGAAATCCATTAATTTTGTGGAAAAGTGCTTATAAAATATATTTGAACAGAGGATTGGATTTATCATGTGACGATTCAGATTTTATTCACAACTATTTAAATGGGTCCAAATTCCTTCTGCCCTTGCTATCGAATGTCTCCTGTTATAACAGCCAATCTCATTTGTCTTACAATAATGGAATGCCACTTCCCACTTCCTCCAGAGAAACAATTGTGGATATGATAAATAGTTGGTAAGGAAAGAGAAGATAAACTTTATTCCGGCCAGTGTAGTTTTGCTTTATCAACAAAAGTGCACGTGAAAGGCTAATGGGTTTATTCTTCCCTTGTCTAAGAGCGTTCAGCCGATGAAAATCCCAATCGTAGACCCTTCTCTTCTGCTCTAATTTCAGTTGAAGAAACTTCGGATTGGACCACAACCCTCTCAGTGCTTATGGGGATGCTGGTGGCTTTGGTTGGTCTTTTTGCACTGCTGCTTCTCCTTCAATACAGAAGACTCCGAAAAGGATATACACCCTTAATGGAGACACAATTAAGCAACAAGAGATACACAGAAGAAGCCTAGATGCTCACGCCTTACCCTAGAGAAGAGGCTGGCCAAGGCTTAGTTCTGACCCTGACAGTGAGCAAACGAATCCTCACTGTTTTTCCTTTCATTGAAGACCTTTGGCATAGCTCCTCCTGTTGTGGTGATTAGCTGTAGTTTCTGGTTTGCTTTGTTTATCTAACAAACAAGCTAAAGTGCTTGAGGGTGTCTCTACCATCAAACAAAGGTAGAGCTGATGATGATTCGTAGTATTTGTTGATAATTCCTCATACTGATTAAGCCTCCTCGTGTTCTGAGAGCACCCCAAAAAATCGATAGAGTGGATTCATTGAAATTTGCAGGTCCGTGTAATTTGAGAGCTGGACAAAATCATGGTTAAATCTTTCTCAGCCCACACGTGTTCATTTGTAAAGGGATGGGGGCAGGAAGGTGCAGGTGCTACATGAGTCTCCAAAGTCTCTTTTAGGTGTAAACATCTGATTTTAGATGGCTTTTAGATGATTTTAGATAGTGGCTCCCTGATCATCTTCCTGCGGCTTCTTTTTCTTCTTTTCGCTCGTTCTCTCCAGCCTTTAAAATGGCCTTGACGATGCAAATAGGTCTTATTTTCCGTACAGGATGGAGAACGAATGAATGAATGATCAATTTGGTTCTCTTTTACAAATTAGACTGTACAGAGTTTATAAAGAGTCTGCAGTTCTTAACAGCAGAGCTATCACCAGAGTCCGTAGCTGAATAAACATTGATCCTATAGTGGTAAATGAATAGATGAAGGATTAAATTAATTTAAATTAATCTGGTTGATTAATATACTGTTTTGAACTTATTAACAAATATAGAGTCACTCTTTCCAGGAAAGTCTGACTGGAGAAGTCTCCGTGAGCCTATAATCCTGAACATGAGACAGTTGGAGAGTTCCATTGCTCAGCTCCTTTGCTGACCCCAAACCAATTCCTTTGCTAGGGAGCCTCAGATGAAAACTTATTCACGCGTTTGGCTTATTTTTAAGAGTTGCCTTTAAATTCATTAATGCTGCCCTGTACTGACGTTACTTACAAATGCTAATTGCGTCTTATCATTTAAAAGCAAACCATCCACACAAAATATGACAATTCAGAATTAAATGGCTACGATCCACTAAGTAATCATCAGAGTATGAGAGATGAGAATGAGGCAGTCTTTACGAAAATCTTTAGACTTATCAAGATGATCCCTACTTCTGACGAGTTAACGTTTTTTGAGACCTTAAGGCAGTTTCATCTGTTCATGTCTGGTATCCATGCAGTAGGAGCGAAGCCACCGAGGTGGCCCTTCTGTCCACTCACTTCAGCTCCCCTCTACTGGAATGGTTGTGTGTAAAGAATGGGGGTTAAAAGCACCCTGGAGCCTTCTCCATATGAGGGGGCTAGAGGGTGCAAGATTTACCAATACCCAGTGTTATCTCCCGGAATAAGACTGCCGAAGCCAGAGAAACGGACAGAGCTCAATCTGAACTGAATTTGAGTGAGTCTCATAAAGTATATCTGAGAGTAGGCCCAGCAGAGGAGAATCAAGACAGCCCAGAGTCCTTCATGGGGTGAAGCCCTGCTTGGACCTTTTTAACCAGAGCCACATGCATAGATCTCAATGCCTGCCTTTAACAGAATTCATGGAAAATTCAGCAATGTGTTATTAATATGGTCCACTCTGGCAGGTTTATTTTCTGAACTCAAGGTTGTTGGGGAACACATTTTTACATCCTGTTTTTAAACCAAAAGAGAAATATCTTAAGATGAAGATATAAGTGCGCATGGTAGGTATGTTCCTGAAAAGTTGTGTATAAATCAATTATACATTAAAAGCAACAGGGGAAATTACTTTTTATGGATGAACTATTATGAATAATTCTATAAAGCACATAACCACCTCTAGCTTATCCTTCGAGTATATCAGAATTTTCATACACCATATTCTCCTAAGATTTGTTTAAAAGCAAGATCTATCTGTGGCAGAAATAAAGACTAACCATTTATACTTAGCTCCTTTTAACTATAGTGTGTGCAACTTTTCATAAATATTATGTTTTATGATGCCTTCCTAAGAGAAATAGTTTCCTAATTTTGTAGTTCATATTAGAGTAATAAAATTTTCTAGCATTTTCTAACATTACAATAAATCAATGATGACTGCCTTTCAGCAAATCTAAAGGTAGAATAAACCTGTAAAGTAAAATGTTGGTATTTACTTACAGTGAATACTATGCAGATAAACTCAGAAAATATCACCGAGCATTGTACAGCCACACGTCTCAATGATGGGGGGAAATATTCAACCTTGAAGAAAATGAACAGATTGCTTTATATGCTTCTATCTGTAGTATTAGAAAAATCGTGTGTATATGAATTATGATTTTAAAAGAAACGCTTTTTAAAAGCTAACATTCAAAAGTAAAATGAAATCCAATAACATCTTTCCTTTGTGAATTAAATTCTCTTCTAATTCTAAAATTCTTTGACATAAATTTGTGTCTTGCTTAGGATTTAACATTGTTAATTATAATGATCCTAATGAATAATTCTAATCTCACATTAACAAGAAGTAGAAAACTTTACTAAAGAGGAAAATAAAAATAACTATTGTTTTGCAGATTATTGTTCGTCTGTTGGGGGCTATTGTTTTTTAATTTGTGAACATCAATTCCCATCTTTTTGGCACTCGATATATACATGAAATTGTATGTATACACATAAGATACTTTTGAAAATAAGTCCTTAAACTTGGACGGCATTATGCTAAGTGAAATAAGTCAGACAGAGAAAGACAGATACTGTATGATATCACTTATACTTTGAATATAAAACATACAATAAAGTAGTGAATGAAAAAAAAAAAGAAGCAGTCTCACAGATATAGAAAACAAACTAGTGGTTACCAACGGGGAGAGGGAAGGGAGGAGGGGCAAGACAGAAGTAGGGGATTAAGAGGTACAAATTGTCAGGTATGAAATAAGCTACAAGGATATATTGTGCAACACGGGGAATACAGCCAATATTTTATAATAACTCTAAATAGAGTATAACCTTGAAAAATTCTGAATCACTATACTGTATACCTGTGAATTGTGTAATATTTTATATCAATTATACTTCAATTAAATAAAAAGTCCTTAAATATGCTGGTGTTTCTACTTTCTATTGAGTTTCTAAGCAACTGCGCCTTCCTAGCTCTCTATGACATAGGCAGGAAAAGGAGATACTACCCCTTTTCCCAGGTAAAGAGTCACCTCTGATGTCCCTACAGTCTAAAGACTGAAATTGGAGTTGGGGGGTGAGTAGGGAAGCCACTTGAAGTCACTGTCTAGGGAGGCAGGCTCCTCCTAGAGGAGCCTTCCAGCTCAGTCAGCTTGTTGGAGACGTCCCGAAGAAGAGCCAATGGAGGTAATGGTTACATGGCGTTCGCTTCCACTTCTAGACTTGAAGCTTCCAGAGGTCAGGTTGTACAGCTCTCTGTCCAGCTCCAATGCCATTGTATCAAAGCACTTTAAGTAAATAGTTAGAAAACGGTGTGGTTAATTGATACAGGCACATAACAGAGCGAATTCCCCTCCCCTCCCCTGCCCCCTGCCCCCTGGGTGGGAGATATTAGCTACTGTCTTCAGTGCAGTGGCAAAACCCAGCTCTTCCTATCTCTCCAGGGCCTTGCTCATCCCGAGAACTCTGTAAATATTTTTTGAATGCATAAATTAATCTCAAAGTAGAACTTTATTTTTTATTTTATTTTTTTCAGAATAGAACTTCTCATTCAGGGCTTCTGGCATGTGTTTTGACATGTACTGGATAAAACATAAGATAATGGGGTCTTGTATCGCTGCCATGAAATGAATAGCAGCCTATCTTTCAGATTCTGAGCTGTGCCTATGCTAGATACAATTTTACTCCATACAACCTAATACGAGGGGCTACGTCTCAGCCATATTTTCTTCTTGGGTGTATCTTTTCCCCACCATTGATAGGCCCTAATTCTACCATTTACACGGACAAGAGTAGAAAGTTAAGACCTCATAGTATCATTATAGGGCCTTCCACCATCTGACGTCTTAAAAGCCTTGTTTCCGTGGCAGGAGTTAGTGGGCAAATGATTTAGCCAGGCAAAATCAGTGCCTTTCTTACATGGATGGACCCATTGGTGAAACTAAAGAAATTCTCAAAGATAACATGATACTTTACTTATAATGGCAGTTCAAGATGAAAGTAATTCCTGTGAATTTAATTATACTTGGGTAGGTAGTTTAATGAAATCTTGAAAGCAGCACACGAGAAAATTGTGAGCAATAGGATAAAATTTTTGAAAGCTAAACAAAACAAACAAACACACAAGCTTCCTATTCAAGGCCTGAATGCTCTGTATATTACCACTAACAGCATTTCTATTTGGCAGAAACCATTCACCCACTTATGTTAGTTGCCACGTTGATTCAAGCCAGAATTCTTGGATGTAATATGACGGAACTTGGTCCTTTCTTCTAGCCATTCTCTGATCCTTTGCTGGTTTATAACAAAGCTAAAACTATCACAGTGTCTCCCAAACATAACTGAGAGAAGCTTAAACTTGTCCCTTTTTATTAAAATACTAGAGATTTCACTGCCAGAGTAGACACTCTGATTACTCATTCACTTTGTATGTTATTGGGTGTTTCTGAATTTGTAATGAGCACAAATGACCATTTTGATTGAGAGGAATTAGGCTCACAATAAAGCAAAACCTGCCCTCTTGTGTTGTATTAGAAAATTGCGCAATTTTGGTAAAGTTCTTAGAGCTATTTTCCTGTACCGTGGTTAATTGCCTTGGGTCAGAGGAAAAAACAAATGCCAGAAGATCTGCCATCAATTCAAAAATCAGAACAGATAAAGCACAATATTTAGAAGGAAATGATTTCCTGTGCAGGCAAGGTAATCATATAATTAAAGCTCTTAGACTTTCCTTTCCAATGTACTTTGAAAGGTTAAATGTTCCCCTGCAAGCCATAAAACTCTGGGTGATCATTTCAGGCCACTGGGCAAAACTCTTTTA